AATGAAGCCCTTGAAGTACTTGTGTCATGTACACCCCAACCAGATTTTCGGGGAACTTTCCGTAGGCTTTACAGATGGAGTGGAGAGAACCATTCTCACAGTATCTATGAAATCAAGTTTAGAAGTCTTGTCTCGGAGGAGCTTGGAAGTGAGATGGGCTATAAATACTCTAGAATAATATTCAGGCATTCAGTCGTTTTGGCGAACCCAATATACTTGACAATGTTGTCGTGCTGCTCTCAGTAAGTTTACTGTGTGTGACCAGACATGGATGACGGGGTCAAGACTTACCCAGAGATTCTTGAGCAAATCAATCTCACTCTATTTGGTCGCACTGGGTCAGCAAAATGGGTCGATCGTCCCAACATTCAATGCGCACTGGGTCAAGCCAGAACCCACCTCGATCATTCGTAATTCGCTTTTGGGGAGGTCCGTCAGTTTAATCTGCTTGACGGCTACTGCCTCGCCGGTGCCCCAATTGAAGGCTTTGTAGACGGCGCCAAAAGCTCCCTTGCCGATACATTCTCCTAGACGCTAAGCCCAACAGTCAGCCTCCAGATCCATGAGTGATGAATTGATCGGTTCGACCAATGTACGTAGTGCACGCTGATCCCGATCCTCTCCTCCACCCTGGCTGGTTTGCTCCTAAACGGCGTGGGTTCCCATGCCGTTCTGAGCGCCTGGGGTATATATCGAGATAGCCGCAGAGGCGGAGGTTGTACGTACGTAGTCCTTGAGTCCTGGATCCTGCATGGCCATGCTCTCCCTTCCCTTCTCTTTCCGTGATGGCGTGCCAGGCGCAGGGGTGCCAGAGCCCCTCTGCTCCCGCGCAGCCACCACTCGGCCATTGAGATGCCCGTGATAGTGGCGATCGGGCATCTCCAAGTCCGCCTCGGTTTCCGACTGGCCCCTCTTGCGGCTCTACCTCTGCAGGAGAAACTGGGTGATTCGTGATCGGCGGGACGGCGTGGGAGAAGGCTGCGACGGCAGCGGTGGAGGGGTCGAGGGGGTCGTCGTTTGGGAAGGGAGGGGAGAGGGAGAGGGAGCCTTGGGAGAAGGGGATGGCATTCCCAAGCTCTGGGTGTTGGTTTTCGGTTCGGGCCAGGTGAGGGCCCAAAGGGCAGGTGGTAAAGAGGGACGGCGAGGGCGAGGATCAAGAGATGGTGCCGTTTCTCAGCCTCGCATTCGATACGCGCCCCTTCTATTGGCTCCTCTGTTTGTCGGGATGGATTTAACTGGAGGGCCAGCTCGGTTGAGGGCCGATCGAGTCGTCACATCCGGGTCGAGAGCTGCACCAGGCGAATTGGGTCGAGAGCTGCGTACGCACTCGTCGCTGGGTAGCAGGATCGCTGCTGAGGGTCGGTGGGAGCAGGAGGAATTATAGCAATGTCGAGCTTGATTGCTGTTCGAGGTTGGGTGGGTGGAATTGGGCTTTGGTATCTGTTCGCCTCGGTCAGTATTCCACTTGCAGACGGCCAGCCATGAATGCCCGTGATATTGTTTCTTAGGTGTCAGGCTAATGTAAGTCAGAGCCCGTACCTAATAAAAGCTGGCGCACGCAGTAGGCAGGCGGGTGGGCTGCATCGGGTCTTGGTTGGGACCTGACGGGACCAGTCTGGAGGTGTGTCGGTGTACACCAGAGCACGTATCATGCATGTACTACATATGGCAGCGGACCGGAAAGCTGGGCCTGGGGACTCGGGGCCTATAACAGCAGCCTGGCTGGACTGTCTGGGCCGTCTGTGCCTGGGCTTACCACGGCGCCTGTCGGGGAATTTGGTGAAACTGCGGTGCCAGTGGTCAGTGGTCGGGTGTTGTCAGCGTCCCATTGGCACTCCGCTGAGACTCTGGGGCCTCTGGAGGCTCCAACCCGCCAGTGGGATTGGGCTGTCCCGTGCTGTACCTTGCGGGCCCCGCTCCTGTGCATTGGAACAGAGCGTTGGGTGATAAATGAGATTGCGATGCAGCTCGGGTAAAACTCTTCTGCATCGAGGTGATGTGGTGGATGTGACGAATGCTGCGCACTGGCATCACAGCTCGGGGCCCAAGCGCAAGCAGGTGTGCCAATGGATCTGAAGTCCAGCAGCTGTACCGTGAACATGGCCTGTCGGTGAGGGGAGCTTGTTCCCTGGGCCTTGTCCTGGCAAATCGATCTGCTGGCAATAATGAACCTGCTAGCGCCTGCTAGCTGCCTAATACCTGCCTAGGACGTCGGGACTAGCAGCCCAGCTGTGGCGCTCATCGATCATCACCCGACTCACCCAACCCGCAGGGATGATAAGGACATCACTGCCAGAAGCGGCCGTCGAGTCCTCAGTGGATATTGGCTCTATCGAAAATCAGATATAGTCGATATGGCACGCATCAATTGCAAATGCGCACGCCATCATTAAACATGCGATTGACTTTAGCTTCCCCAGACCCAAATCTGCCAGGCACTCGTCTCATCTGTGAGTGATCGGCAGTGCCTGCAATCCGGTGCTACGCGGCATGTATGTACATGTAGATACAAGGACTCGACGTATCAATCAGTACTAGGCGCCAATTAAGGTGGCTTAAGTTGGCCACTCTAATCTTGAGGTAGTATTCCTTGGAATTTCTCGAATAATTCACATCTAGCTGCGCCGCCCGTAATAATGGTGGAGCAGAGCAGCACACCAGCTCCCTCCTCTAGCCCCAAGACAAGCACCTTGTTTGCCTACCTACTCTCTCCCACCAACAAGCCCATCAAGCTTGAATTCTTGCTTCAACCCTCTTTCCACTGTGCCAAGACACAAGCTTGCTGCCCATGGCGGGGTCTTTGGCCATCATAGCTTCTCTTGGAGAAGCTTCCTGCGTCACGCAAGCGAGCTATATGGACCGGTCAAGGCTAATGACATAGCTACCCAAGCACGTGGTCCAGTATATCTCTCGACTGGCCTCACTTGGTTTCTCAACTGCCTCTTCCAGTACCTCCAAGAATCTAAATGGGACCATCTAGTGATTTTCTCTCCTCTTGCTACTGCTCGACCGCCATGGATGAATTGCCGCATCATAAAACCAGCGGGTTTCTCCCCATGGAGGCTCGCCAGCCCATCTCACCTTCAGATCTGATATCCTCATCGTCTTGGACCTGGTGAAAACCCAATCGTCACGTAGCATTATGTTCCGCCACCTTCTTCTGGCTGGCATGTTTGCCGGCATGTCGTATCAGCAAAGCTCCAATAAGTTTGGAAACCTCAAATTCTCAAAGAACGGCACCTTTCACTTGAACGTTTTGGAAGATCTTCACTTCGGTGACAGTATGTCGGACTAGACAAGAATCCCAAACCTTCAAGTTCCCTAGCTAACGACCGACTACAGGCAACATCAAGGATGCCCACACCCTCAAGGTGATGGAAACCGTCCTGAACGCTGAGCCGTCGGACTTCGTCGTCATCAACGGCGACCTCCTCGACCGCGCCAGCACCTACCGTGAGAACCGCACCGCCTACATTGACCAGCTCCTCCACCCCCTCGTCGCCCGCAACCTGACCTGGGCTTCCACCTATGGCAACCACGATCACACCGTCAACACCTCCGCCAAGCTCATCCTCGAGACGGAGCACAAGTACCCCAACAGCCGCACCCAGCAGATGGTCTTTGGTCGCGAGTCCGGCGTCTCCAACTACTACCTCCCCGTCTACGGCTCCAACTGCCGCGGCTGCAACTGCACGCCCGAGCTCCTCATCTGGTTCTTCGACAGCCGCGGCGGCTTCTACTACAAGGAGCTCAAGCCCGACGGCACCTTCGTCGAGCAGCCCAGCTGGGTCGACGGCACCGTCGCCACCTGGTTCCAGCAGACCAATGCCCGCCTCGTAGAGAAGTACAAGAAGGTCATCCCCTCCATCGGTTTCGTCCACATCCCCGTCAACGTCGCCGAGGCATTCGGCATGAAGATCGGCGTCAACGCGAACCGCCAGCCCGGCATCAATGACACCATGCCCATGGCTCAGCAGTCCTACGGGTTCTGCGTCGACGGCCGATACAACGCTTCGTGCGACTACGGCGGCCAGGACATCCCCTTCATGCAGGCCCTCGCGTCCACCCCCGGCCTCATGGCTGTCTTCCATGCCCACGAGCACGGCAACACCTGGTGCTACAAGTGGGACACGCTCATCCCCGGCATGACCATCAAGGGCAGCGGCGTCAACCTCTGTTTTGGTCAGCACACGGGGTACGGCGGCGCCGGCGATTGGATCCGGGGTGCGCGCCAGATTCTCATCACGCAGTCCAAGCTGAAGAACTTGGAGCTTGATACCTGGATCCGACTGGAGAGCGGGGGTGTGGTTGGATCTGTGTCGCTCAACTCGACCTACAACAAGGATTTCTACCCCGCCACACCTAATCAAAAGACTTATATCTAAGTATCCGGAAGGGAATTACCTAGGAATCGGAGAAGATTGCAGTCGTGGAACTAACAGGGCTATTAGCAAACGAAGGCAAGTAGTTACAACAACTGGCATAGCACCTAATGATTTGCTAGAGCCTCGATTGATGCATTGCTTCACCGAATAGTTTACATTATAAGTCGTTCAATTGTCTGTTCGATACGTCCTAGAATTTTCAAGGCCATCTCTGCTGTCTGCGAGCCAATGCCGCTCATTGTCCGCCGTGTAGGCCAACCAAGGCCGTGTCAAACTACCCGTCCTGCTCGTCCAGGATATATGTTGTGAAATATCATACTGTCGCTAACTTTTTTGCCAATGCCCCTCGGCCAAGGTATTCAAACACCTTGGCCCCATGAACAGGAATGAAACCTAATAAATCACAGCTCATTAACGCTTGCTCTCTCCAGGAGCTCATCCAGATGCCCCATCTTATGATCTTCTCCATCATATTTCAGTGATCCCAAAATAACCAATCAGAAAATGTGTTACAAAGTTTTCATGTCAAGTGTCATCCCGGCAAAATCATACAAGCATGCCTCAAACAGCCAGGCTGCATCAAAATGTTTCGGGAGAACAAAATTAAGCCAGGCTTCATGGCCGATCTCTTGTCAGAGTTCTCGACAAACCTGTTTCGGTCCACCATTCCTCTGGAATATCATCACGGGAAGCCAATCTTCGGACGATTCGCTGCAGGCTTACCAAGTCCTCGTCTGCAGAATTTGTGCTGCCAGTCGACATGAATGAGCCTTCAGCGTTCAGTCGAGAAGGTTCGGATCCGGAACCGTCTTCCGTCGCACCGACAGATAGTGAACCTACCCATCCGTCGCGTTGACTTCCCAGAAGTGTCGGGCGAGCCATGTATACATTGATAGACCCATTGTCTGATCGTAGAGATGGTCCTTCGCGTGGAGTCAAGGGGTCTCGAGGTCTCGGTGGTTGCCCCCGGGTGACGTAATCATCCCCCGTTAAGGGATAATCCAAACCTGGTACCTCAAACCGTACGGGGTGGGCAGAACGGTAGGGTGGTCTAGAAACATGGTGACGGCGGCGAGGAGGTGCTTCTCCATCCTCTGTGTCAGAGTTCTCACATCCAGACTCGCATGGCGGCTCAGGTGCAGTGCCAGGACGCAGGGTTTGCCCAGATGCACTGGTGAAGGAAGTGCTTGGGTTCTGGGAAATAACAGTGGACATAAAGGAAGAATTGGCACTTGGTGGCTGAGGATCAGGTGTCAACGTCGATAGGAGGGTATCCCATCCTTCTGGGCTGATACTTCGGTTACGGTCACCAAGTCCGTTTACATCATCAGTCGGCCTCCGTCGCGTTGATGAAGCTAGTGTCTCCGCTTCCCTAGCAGTCGGAAGGTTACTACCTGCATTACGCATCATTCGCCCTGCGGCTGAGAGCCGCTCAACTTGAGGGCCACGGCTCCGATTGCGCGATCGCATTCTCTCCATTCCGAGCATTATCTGCCAACGATATCAGTATTGCGTGGTTCGGAACGGTTGTACGGTACGAGGGCAGCACTTGAATACTTACAATATTTTCCCTGCGACTTTGAGCTTGGGGGTGGAGCATCCACCATTGTGTGCGTGAATCTTGGCGAGTATTGTTATCCTCCTCGCGATCGCGATTGAGTGCTTCGAGTGCAGCTAGCCGTCGCGATTCCCGGTCACTCATGTCGGGGCGAGCCAGATCGTCGGATGTCACAACGCCATTGCGGATATACTCGGCCGCAGCGGCGATGCCGGACGAGGTCGTGTCTGTAGTAAGAGCCGTCTCGAGGGTGCGTGAAATAGGACGTCTGCGCTCCTGCAGGTCAAGCAATCTGGATCGTCGACTCAGCGCAGCGCGATCTCGAACATTGACGTACGGGGCACGCCTGATGGCCGAGCGTGGCGGCGAAGCTGACCTCCTCGCCTTTGCAGGGGGTTTGGGTAGCACATCTGACTCGACGGGTGCGACGAAAAGACTGGGTGGTGCCACGATTAGCTATTTAAATCCAGTAGTTACGAGAAAACACAAGGAAGAAATAAGAGCACTGCATCAGCATACTAAAGCCCAAGATAGATAGCAGATCTTGCGTGTGCGCATGCGGCTACGGTACAGAAATGAACGAAATAGAAGGCGCTAGATTGGACGAGATTTAGACATACGGCAGACCCATGATCTCAGCAGCAACGATTGCAACAGAGATTAGTGAATATGAGTGAACGTGGTGATAACGATGGCGACAACGGTCCCGGTAATTACCAGCTAGACACGATGGATATGCGCGACAGCTAAACGAACGACGGAGATGGCTGGATGGTGGATCAGACCCTTGGTCGCGCGGGCGTCAAATGAAGAAAAAAGCCTTGATTGTTGCGCAGCGAGCGTAGAGGGAGGGTGGCACTTGAAACAGCGCTGGAGGGAGAACTGGTATTAGGTGATGATGATGACAATGATGGCGATGTGTCGTGCCTGTGGCGCGCAACGTTAAATGACCCTCTCTTGATGCTCAAGGGTAGAGATGAATTGATGGAGCGGCTCGCGTTGCTGGGGCGGGCGAAGCGCCCTTGCCTTAGCTGCTCCTTCCCAGCCGCACCCGGCATCACGTGCAGCAGGCAGTCGCTGGTCTCCACTTATACCAGACCCTGCATTCCTGCGTGAATAGTGGCGTGAATTTGTGAGCCACAATCAGCTTCCTAGTACGGACTGCAATGTCCTGAGATAAGAGATCAAAGTGCAATCAACAAGACCGTAGTTGGAACAATTATGTTTATTCTGTTGAAGCATCATGGCTCTGGATTATTAGCTGTTCGCCTTACAGGAAGCTTGTGGCTGTTATCTGACAGCCGCTTGCACGGGATTGACTGGTCGTGGCGCTCAATTGTGGCTAGTGCAAGCAAGTGGGGCGTGGCAACTAATCGACTGATGCATTGGAAAAATGGCTTTCATCATCTGGGACCCGACACGGCTTGACAGCACCGTTGAAACACTCCCAATCGGTTCATTAAATTGCTGTATGAGTGCTGGACACTTCTCATGCCTCGCACATAATCGCATACCTTATTTCAGGCGTAGGAAGAGGAGGAACTAGGCGGACCTGGCATGTCTCGCCATGGCCAATGCCAAAGATGCATCGTCTCTCGCCTTGAGACGTCTCCAACGCTTCATTGCGCCGAAGAAAGAGTCTGCCAAAGCTGTCCGCGACATCAGATTGGGACTCGACCGGATATCTCGAGTCGTTCCAGAGGTTCAGCAATGGCAAGGGGTCCACGTGGGTGGTACTAATGGCAAAGGCTCAATCTGCGCCTTCCTCTCAGGGCTCTTCACTCTGGGTGGAATTGGCTACGGCCGGTTCGTCTCTCCGGCATTTCCACATAAGCATAATGCTGTGACGATAAATGGCAAATACGTCAACCCTCGTGTGTATGAGGTGGAGGCTGATAATGTTCGGAACGCTTACCAGAGGTTGTTGCATGGTTGGCAACTCGCAGCAGCCGAGGACCCAGGGCCGCTTTCTCCCTTTGAGCTGGAGACAGCTACAGCTTTCCGGATTTTCAACCGCACCGGTGTTCCCTATGGCATTGTCGAGGTCGGCATGGGCGGTGCAACAGATGCCACAAATGCTATGCGCCGAAAAGGCGTTACCGTTATCTCCAAAATCGACCTCGACCACCAGGAATATCTCGGAAGGACTCTTGAGCAGATTGCAAAGGTCAAAGCCGGAATTATGCGTCCTGGAGTACCGTGCATCGTCGACTATACCAATGAAAAGTCTGTCATCAAGGTTCTAAGAGAGCACGCAAACAGCATTGGCACGCAAATCTCTCTCTCCTGGAAGGCCGAACCCTTTCTTTCAACTCTCGATAATGATCGGTGGAAACTAGAGGAGTATCAAAAGCAAAATCTCTTGTGTGCAGCTCTTGCCTTTCGCCACCTTTTCCCCTTGAAACCGATCAATCTAGACAGGCTCTTAGAAACCGAGCCCTACTTGCCTGGCAGATTGGAGTGGGTTGGGATAGACAAGCTTACAGATGATCAATACAAGGCACCGGTTTTGGTGGATGCCGCTCATAATCCTCTTGGAGTCCAAGCATTGGCCAGGTATGTCGACTCAAGTCTTCGCTCCGAAGATGCCCCCATCACGTGGGTCATCGGTTTCTCTTCGAGCAGCACGAAGCCATTCGACCAGATGATCGAGACTCTCGTTCGCCCTCAAGATAATGTTGCTTTTGTGGAATTCAATCAGCAGAGCAACGAGCCTCCCCCGACACCTGCTGCTCATGGGCAGGAAGTGCTGAGAACTGTGATCTCTTCCAATGAACAAGTCTATCAGGGTGAACCCAACCTTCGAGACGCATTACACTGGGCTGCGTCAAAGGCTGGTGCCGGGCGGCTGGTGATCACCGGCAGTCTCTATCTGGTACGAGACTTTTATATGCTAGATGGTGTGCACCGATTCAGGGGTGAAACGAGGACACAGCAACCAACCTCGTCCCAGCTATGGCGTTTAGATAAATTACGAAATGAGCGGGCCCTGACACAAGAAGAGCATGAAGAGTTCAAACAGGCCAAATGGCTTTTGCATAAATCCAAGCTCAACAATGCGATGGACAAAATCAAGGGGACCAACAAAGTCCCTCGATTAAATGAAAGCCCAGCTTCTCAGAAAAACTCGCAACTCAAAGCATCTCAAAATCTTGCAGATGACCCTGCCGGGCTCCTGAAACTTCGCAACATAGCTCGCCGACACCGATATCAGCTAAGAGGATATCGCATAGCCATACGCAGCATCGGCAATGATATTGATCAGGAGACTCAAGGTGAAGGAGAGCTCAACAGTGACATCCTGTCCAAGCTCCGGGAAGACGCCGAGCTTCTCAAGGCACAAGCAGACAAACACTATCTTGCGCTTGAGGACCTACTGGACAGGTTCCGAAATCATCCTGATGCGCCCAAGATTTTTGGTCCCCGCCTCGAGGAGACACTCCTGGGTAAATCTCTCGCTGGATCAGAGGAGAGCCCTTTCAATGCACCTACGGAACTGGATGTTGAAGAAGAGCCGGCCGAATCCGGGGAGGAAGAGGCCCTATCCCGGCGTTTAAAAGGGCATGAAGTAACAACCGACAAACCCACAGTCGCCAGAGATTTCTGGGGCAGGCCTATAAAGGAGCCTGCTGCTAAACCCTAAATCATCACATGTTTTATTACTATCAACATCTAATCTTCCGTCTCTGGGAACGACACTGAACAACGTCCCCAGCGAAAATTACATAAAAGGGCAGTATATTTGGAGAGTCTCAAGGAGTAATGCATATGGAATGCCCCGAGATAGCATCCGGCTACTCGCACCTGTATATTATGAGATGCTGTTCATGCCACGAAGCACAATGGAGAGAATACTTAGAATAAAATAGAATGTACAACACCTTTAACCACCTGCCTGCCCTACGCCTGACCTTTCTTCCAAATCAACTCTACGTTCAATCCATCCCTTGCCACCCCCCCATCGCATCTTTAATCACATGATCAATGTGCCCACGAGATAGTAGCGTAGGTCCGCAATCCTCGGTGCGATTCACTTTGTTCACCACCCACATCACACCCGCTCACCATGCCACCCTCTCATCTCATTGTTGTCTGCTGCCACGGCATCTGGCTAGGGGGCCCAACCAAGGGCCTCGAAGACTCGGAGTGGCTCATCGCGGATTTCCAGCGTGGGGAAACGCCAACATTTGTCGAGCACGCCCGAGCGGGGGTTCGCCTTCTCGCCGAGCACGGTCAAGATGCCATCCTCGCCTACTCCGGGTAATTTTCCCCCTCTCTCTCCCTATCCGCTCCTCCTTCAAGTACCCTCTTTAGCATATGCTCGATTTTACTGACCTACGTTCTTTACGCTTTCAAACCAGCGGCCCAACGAGGAAAGAGACCCAGCTCTCTGAAGCACAGAGCTACGCCAACATCGCCCGGGAAAACGCCTACTGGGGCTACTCCATCCCGGAGGGGCAGATCATACTCGAGGAGCGCGCCCTGGACTCCTACCACAACGTGCTCTTCGGCCTGACGCTCTTCTTCTCGCGCTTCGGCGTCTGGCCGCGGCACATGACGATTGTGAGCCACGCGTTCAAGCGCCCGAGGCTGATCGATGGCCACTGCGTCGCCGTGGGCTGGCCGCTGGACAGGGTGAGCTTTGTCGGCATTGACCCGCCCGGCCTGGCTGGGAAGGAGGATGCTGTGGAGGGTGCTGCCCAGGCGATTGGGGAGTGGATGGATGATCCTCATGGGCGGGGGGCGAGCTTGAAGGGGAAGAGAGCCAAGAGGAATCCTTGGGGAGTAGGGCAGGGTATGTTTGAGAAGGGGGTAGAGGCTTCCGTGAGAGAGAATGCCAGGTTGTCAGCACGGGGGGAGAGTGATGATGAGACCTTGGAGGGCACGGTGAGGCCGTGGGTATAACAATCTACTACACCCATTCTCATCTTCATACACAGATATATATATTTTAGATCTTTGGTCTAGGTCCCTCCCCTACAGCCTTGACCAGAAACTCAACAGCCTGTTCTACCATTTCCGCGCTGAACCAATGCCCAACCCCGTCAAACACACGGTCATCAACCTGCAACCCGCCAACCTCCGCCAGCACTTTCACAAACGGCGCGGTAAACTTGTACGGCACCAGCTGGTCATCCCCCCCAGAGAGGAGAAGCAGCTTCTTGCTCCTCAACCCCCGCGAATCAACCAGCGCCGACAGCCGCGAACGCTCAGCCTCAGACAGGGGGAGCTGAGGAAGGGGACCATCAGAGAACAGGAACCCCTTGGGGTCGTTCGCCGCACAGGCAGCAACGAGGTCCCGCGGGAAGAACCTGCTCCCGAGGAACTGCGCGCCGCAGTCGAGCTTCGATCCAGCTGCCCTGCCACCCATGAGGCCTAGATTAAAGAGAAATTACAAATCAGTCCCCCACGATCATCATCTCACTACAAGAGGGGAAAAGCAAAACTCACCCATGAAGTCAGGACTCCCAATCACAGACACCACGGCGTCTACCCTCTCCTCCCCCAGCCAAGCCTGCCACGCCGCGTGCCCTCCCAAACTCCACCCCAGCACGACGTGCCCGTCCACGTTGCCCCTCCCCAGATACCCGCCCACCACGTCCATCAGCCCGCTCATGTCCGTCCTCGCGCCCTTGACCATCCCCAGCATGTCGATGGCGTGGGTGTCGTTCCCGGACGCCCACGCCCCGTTGGCCTTGTCGCTCACCACCCGCGTCCCGTGGTTGGGCATGTCGAAGCACAGCGCCACGAGGCCCCGCCCCGCCTCAGAGGCGGGCGAGCCGTGCCATGCCTTGACGGTGCGGGCGGCGATGTCGTGCATGCGGCCGCGGGTGCGGGTTCGGGGGTGGAGGAGCCAGAGGCATGTGACGGGGGCGGACGGCGAGGCGGGCAGCTCGTCCAGCCCGTAGACGTCGACGAGGAGGCCGGCCATGGGGATGGTGGTCGTGGAGACCGAGGGGGGAGGGGGGAGGCCCCGCGTTGTGTATCCGTCACCGTGGGCTGGCATTTCGTGTGTAGATGGGGATAGATATGATTTGAGAGGGTTCAATTAAGTTTATTTACATGTTACGAATGAGACACTCGCTACTCATGAAGCCTCTGACAAAGATGTCGGGCAGGTGGGGACCGATCCGTACAAGAACAAGCAAGATCTCCCTCCACGCGGGGTCGAACAGAACAGAGCAGATATAAAGTCAGGAGCAGCGCCCAACAACAGCCGTATCAACATAAAGGTCACACAATACTCCAATCCCGCACTCCCACATGATAAGCCAGCGTTGAAGATAACATGATAAAAAATTATGTAGAGTGAGCTATTTACGTGCGCTAGAACATCCAAGTCCACAGCCCGAGTGCTCTCGTGCCAATTCCCAGCCAGATGCCCCATAAAGAACACGAAAAAAAAGAGAACCAGTTGGCAGAGTAATAACTGCCGAGCGCAGGCAAAAGGATTATGAGAAATGATCGGCCGTTTGGTCCTGACCAGTAACACCGATTCACACAAAGACTCCCCCCACGTATCGAAGCCGGGAGACGCAACCAAAATCAACGACCGAGACGCCCCAACTCCATGTCGCAATTCCCACTCTCGCCTTAGGTATTCCGGAATCATAGTCCCATGTGCGGCTTGCATGGAAGCCGTCCCATTTTCTGTCTGTCTTCGGAATCGTATCCGTATAAATATATAGCATGTGAATGACGTGCTTGGCGTGCACCATGTTCGACGCCAGGGGAGCGTTTATTCAGGCCAGAGGGGCTGGAAGTCTCCGCCTCGTCTCGGCCGAAAAAAGCCTGAATGTCTCTGGACAAGGAGGCTATCTTAATCCACTTTCCAGTGGTCATGGGCATCACGGCTGAGGTACAGCTCAATTGCGTACAAGCCCAATGTCAGGCCGACATTGATCCACCGCCACATGCCGTTGCCAACCTCGCCGCCCCTCAAAGTCCAGCCATCGTCGCTGTTGCTCGTAGAGAAATGTTGCAGGAGAAGGCTGGTGTAGACGGAGATTAAGATGGAAGGGGAAAACCAACTCAGGAATCCCAAAACTCTACCTGCGGTCTCGGAGTCCTCCCAATCAGGATCATGGAGCAAGGCTTGGGCGCCCAGATCTCTGACAGAAGGGATGATTCGGGTGGCACAGTAAAAAACGAGGAGTCGGTAAGCGAGTGAAATAATGACCGAAGGTGTAATCGTCTGGAAGGCCGCATAAAGCAGCATGAGAGAGGAATGAAGTGCCAAGGGAAGACTGCTCAGCAGGTGCACGATGGTGGAATAAGAAGCCATGATGATGGGAGGTAGAGGAGGCAGATCTGGCTGGGAGGATGCCTGCTCCTCTGGGCTACGCTGACCATCTGAAGGCAGGTAGTCGGTGAAAATCTGGTAGACGCAGAGAACAATGTAGGCGAATAGGAGAGAGGATTCGACGGGGTTGCCTCGGCCAGTACCGATTCCAAATGCGCAAACGAATACGGCAGTCGTCATAGTGATGCCAATAAGGGCTGCGTCGATGTTACTAATCTCGGGAAACTGTGCTATCCTCCAGATGAAGTAGACGGCACTTGAAATAATGGTTCCTGAGAAGGCCAGAAGGATGATCTGAGCTTGAGTTAGCAACGCAGTTATGGAGAGGGGCAGACATCTAGAGACAACTTACCACCCAAGTATCACTCCTTCCTCGATTTACGAGCCACCTGGTGATCTGGCCGGCAGACTGGATAACAAGCAGTGTGCAGAAGCCTTCCAACAGCTGGAAGACAGGGCCAGAATATCTCAGGGTGTTCTCCCAGCTTCCGAGCATAACAGTTTCGAGCACGCCATCTTTACCGAACAACCACTCAGTCCAGGTGGTGCTCTTTGCCCTCAAGACACCGTCCAGTGTCCGCTCCACCCAGTTGGTCGTTCCGGCGTCCACAGCAAACTGCCCCAACGCCCAAATAAGCAATGTCGGGATGACAATACACTGTGAAAGGCGAAGGGTCGAGGATACGAGCCCTCGCACACGGGAGCCGTCGGGGGTGATGAGCTTTATCGTCGAGTAGATGAGGTAGAAGATGAAGATGGACAGGCTGTAGGCCAAGCCACTGTCACGGCCACCGACATCGAAGGCGACCGGTATCGAGAGGACGATGCTGAGCAGGAAGATGGAGCCAAAGATGACACTGAATAGCCACCACATGGAGGCGGCGGAGACAAGGGCCGGGCAGCGACTCGGGCCGCGCCGACGAAGCTATGGGAGAAGGAAAAAGGATGTCCAGCTGGTCGGCTTCGGCTCTGGGCTCTCGTGGGATGCGACGGTCGAGGTGCTCGGGGAAGACGGCGCTCTGGATTTTGAAGATGTGGTTTCTTGTGGCCGGTTGACGCTGGTTTGGCCCGCAGATAAGCCGTGAGCGAGTGCAAGTGCAGGCAGCGTCGTGCCTTGCTTATCAAACCAGCACGGGCACGCAAGATCGCGTGATGGCGAGCGCTGGAGGGTAAAGCTGGCTTGTTTCGCCAGCACCAACACAAACAGATCAGCGGGCGTGTCGCGGTAATGGCGAGGGGGGCAGAGGGGGGGAGGTCGAGGCGGTGATGCGTTTGCAGGTGAGGTGGCTTGCCGTGGAGGGACAACTTTTTGTTTACGTATATGGCATATGATATGGGGATGGACCCTGGGTACTAGCATTCTGTATCTTCACGTGCTTTTTTTCTACACTGGCACCAGCGCGTTACGCTCAACTAACTCACTGACACTTGCCCCGGCGGCACCAAATATTTAGTAATGAGTAGCCTCCAGCTTCGGGCGCTGGTGCTGGTGGCTAATATCAACGGCAATTTAAGCTAATTATTGCACACGCATCTCCTTATCTGAAAATCCAGCAGATGATCACCCATCCACGTGTTAGTCGGTCTTGTCTGGTGGGGTAATTTCGCTGGCCTGCTTGCTTGAGGCCATGATCTCATGGGCCCTTGCCCTTTTCCCCTTGGACAGGTTAGGGCTGGCTAATGCGCTCCCACCTCTCCATCGACTGCTGCCTCCATCGCTCGGACGTAGACGGCGCGATGGAACTCGGTCCATCCAGGTGGTGATCAGCCGCACACACGCAGCCCAAACACCAATCATCTTGCCAGCCAGCCCAAGGAGCCTGGTTTCGTCATTTTTGAAACAGATGCATGCATGTACCATCCGTCCCCAGAGTCTAGTTCCTCTGCCATGAATCAGATGATAAGGCGTGGAGTCGTTATCTGCCCCCTTCGGGAAGCGCCAGCATGAGGGACGACGAGGAGCAGCAGCGAAAACGACCCCATAGACCTGCAGCTTCTCCAACTCGACTTGCCTTTTCGGCAGCAACTCCAACAGGTGCTGCCTAGTACCTCTGATGCTACGTCCCAGACCAGTATAAGCGGGCACTCTCTAGCCCGCTCCTCCCCACCTCGTCTGACCTTACAAACATCCAAGTGAGGACTATCACCACCTTCACTAGAAGCCCCGAATCATCAAATCGAAGGTAGCATATCCACGCTTCATCGCAGCTTGCCATTTGTATTTCCGCTTTATTTGACATCGCTTCTCCAAAATGGTAGACTTGCCAGCGATCCTTGAAGAAGCTGCTCTCCGCTACCGCGGCCCAGGTGGTGCAATTGCTGTCGTTCAAGATGGAAAGCTGGCTGCGCAGCGAGTCTGGGGGTTTGCGGACATAGCTCTTAGAATCCCTATGGATCCGTCCACGATACTCCCCATATGCTCCATCTCAAAGCAGATGGTATGTGCTGTGATCCACGACCTGAAGCGCTCCCCAACTGCCGTAATGGCATCGGCAGATGTGTCGCCCTCCGAGCTGTTGGAACAGCACCTACATGAGCTGCTCGGCCACCAAGATCAGCTCAAAGACGTGTCGATTCAGTATCTAAGCAACAATCAATCCGGTATTCGAGACTACTGGGCTACCAACACACTGCTAGGAGCTCATCCTGAGGATCTCTTCTCGCTCGAGACGCACGCCGTGGACATGGTCCGCCGTATCAAATCCTTGCATTTCACTCCGGGCAGCGAGTACTCGTATTCCAACACCAACTTCCACATCCTAGGCCGAGTCGCCGAACGTGCCAGTGGTCAGTCGCTACCCGACTTGCTCTCCGAAAGGATCTTTCGTCCCGCCAAAATGACGACGGCATCCCTCCATCCACCATCCGATGACCAGCCCGGGCCCTGCGTGGGCTACGAAGTCAACGAGGCTCTTGGCTACTTCCCTGCCAAGAACCGAATTGAGTGGTCTGGCGATGCTGGCATCGTCGCCTCGCTCGAGGACATGATTGCATATGAGATTTACCTGCACCAGCTATGGACGGACCCCAAGAGCTGGTATCGAGAACACTCCGAGCCCGGAACGTTCAGCGACGGCGCACCGTCTCTATACGCGAATGGCCTAAGCTTCGCCGACTTGGACGGCATACCCAACCTTGGCCACGGGGGAGCCCTTCGCGGCTATCGTCTCTACCGCCGTCACACGCCCTCCAAGGGGCTCTCCGTCGTTGTCATGCTCAACCATGAAGCCGACGCAGCGGAAGCTTCATCTTTCATCACACGGAAGATTCTGGGGCTGGACGAGCCAACGGTGGCGGCGCCGTTTTTCCATCGTCCCGCGAAAGAGTGGGAAGGGCACTTCTTGGATAGGGGCACCAACATGGCTGTCAGCGGCGACGTCACCAAGCCCGGCATCGTTGCGATCGATTACGCTCGAAAGGCCGAGACTATCCGTTTGCTCGGGTCGAATGAGGCCGAGTCTGTGGAGATGAAGGCTGAGATTCGCGGAGACACGATTCATGTACGTCGGGTAAGAGACAACAGGGTCCTGGAAGGGATTCGCCTGCAGCCCGATGCTGCCAAGAGGCGCGACCCGTCTCTGCCCGGGGAATATTTCTGCCAAGAGCTGGATTCTTACTTCCTCTGCATCGGTCAAGGCGAGGTCTTGTATGGCGCATTCAAGGGGCCTCTAGGGTCCGGGGGCGCTACGGCTATGAGATATCTGGGAGGTGATGTGTGGTTACTGGCCTGCCCACGCGGCCAAGATGCCCAGCCCCCGGGCGACTGGACCATTGTATTTCATCGCGATGCCTCCCAAGGCAAAATCACCGGTATGACAATCGGCTGCTGGCTTGCTCGGGGCTTTGAATTTGAGAAGCAGACGTAATGTTTAGCAGAGAGGGTCAATAACAGTATAGCTCCAGAACCTATTGAAGAATATCTCACTTTTCTTTATTCAAACGAAAAATGGTATCCCTAGGTTAGCTACAGGCTGAGAATTCTTTCCAAGCCCCTATGTCAATATCCTCGACGAGTAAAGGGGGTGAGGAAACGTTCCCAGCCCATCGGCCTTAAATATCGGCTCTCGTGCTATTATCCGTCTAGTACTCTAGAATGTTTTACATGGCTTGCCGCAATACAAAAACATGACCCAATTTCCAACTCCCAGAATTTGAGTTATCCATTATCCAAGGAGGTCGATGTGCAACGACACATGCAAATACTGCCTACGGGAACAAAAGCTAGCACCCTGCCCCATCCGCAACCCAATTCGCAGCGGAATCCGTACCATCGTTTATACTACGGTCGTAGCCCTCGATAGCGAAAACCGGCGCGTCATATTAGCACCTCTCTGGAGATCGAAGGAACTCCGGAAAGGTCCATTCCCAAATCACAACCTTCTTTGGGGCATTCCTCTCAGATGTCCCTAAATTTTGGGTTGCAGATTTGTATAGGCTGTCATCTTGTAGGTTTTCGCCGAGAAGATGGATTGGAGAATCGACCACGGGGGTGTTCAATTGAAGCCCGGTTGAGGATTCGATACGCCATTACCATCCATGAAAGCTTATCTATGAGCGCCTGCCACCGATTGTCAGAGCCATGGTTCCTTGCCGGTAAATAAGCCCTGCCTTGAGGACTGCTTATCACCAGTATGGAGCTTTGAAAGCATTGGCAATGTTATTTAGTTCTGCCTGTCTCTGGGTTTCTGTACGAGTCCATCCCGAGGACTCAAGGTTTCATTCATGGGTGCGTTAGAACGTATCAGTATCATCGCCCTTTCAGTGCCCTGTCTCATTCGCTGTGGGAGTTTGAGAATTTCCAGCCGTCGACGCTCTGATCTCCTCGGTCGCGATCACATAACTCATCTCACTTTCAGCGCCCAACTCGACCTGACTGCCAGTTTCAGCGTCTGCCTCGCCGCTGCGTGCTCTCCAATCCAGCCCTGAATGGCGTGGGCCAGTCGACCTTGACTCGTCCGTCTCCGTACGCAGACCGCCCGATTTTGCTTGGGGAATGGACCGGTCTGCCGTGGCGGTTTGGTTCGGATGGACAATATGAGCAATCTTCCTCAACAGCGGTCTCAGGGCAGTCGATGAAACGACCATGATAGAGACGTACAGCTCAGAGGAGATCCATAAATCTGTTTTGTTTGATAAGGTTAGGGCGAATACCATGAATGATTTTCGAGACGTCAGGCCAGTCCTACACGCATGATAAAGGCAAGATGGGGGAGCACATACAGGTAGCCAAATTGATCTCCTCACTAGCCATGTTGATAAACCGGCCAATGCTGACAGCGATGGTAAGAATCCCAAGTCCAAAGATGATGCCCAAGCCAATCTTCTCTCTGGGCTTTCTGAGATTAAGATCTCTAAGGATGGGGAATGGGAAAATGACATCTAGTCTCAATGTTAGTAGCGGGTCGGTATATTCCAAATAGGACGAATTTACTGAAAACTTCTGTGCTGAAGTTCATCGACCAATGAATCCGCATCATGATCGTAGAACTGAACGCGCTACAGGCGTCGGGGTCCTCAGACCTGATCCAGAGAGCATTCCGTCAGACTTTCTATTGCGGTTCCTTAGAATCCAATCGGCTGGGAACACCCACCAATTCGATGCGATATCTGCTCTGCACCAGAAGGTCGCATCGAGGAACGTCACAAGACTGCAAGCGACTGTGAAAGCTATCAAAAGGTAGAGAAGCTTTCGTATTCGGGGTTTCGTTGGCGGTACAAGCTGATAGTAGAAGGAGAGGATGCTGAACTTTGGGAAATAAATTCTAATACACCGTGTCAGGGAGCACATCACTTCCTCTACCCTGGCAGGACCTACCTACCCAACATCAAACCAGAAATTCTGTAAAAACCGAATCTGCATATAGCATATCAGCCTCAGCTCGAGAATCTAAACCAAGAAAGTAAGAACATCATACCTTCAGGGTATATTGTCCTGGATCAGTAAAGTTTGCCATGGTCCCAGCTTTGTACAACAGCGTATCCGATATTGTCAGTGCTATACCACAAGCAGCCGCAGCCAAGACCCAAAAGTCTGCCCAGTGCGGAGTGTCCTTCAATAGGCTTAATCGGACATAGAAGCGAGCGCATACGAGTGCCAAGGCCAAGGACAGTAGTGTCCATTCTACCGCCTAAGAGGACGGAAACAATATGAGCAATCTCGTTGAATATATTGTGAGAAAGGGGGACTCACAATCACATCTGAATCAGAGAGCATGTTAGGCGGCTGGGCGCCTTCTCCGAGACTGCTGAACGGAGGATTTCAACAAATGAAGGCAGAGACAGAACATGATACAGTGGAAAGAGAGCGTGCGGGTTTGTTGAAGTTGGGTTGGGGTAGGACGCAGCTCATCCAAAAGGAAAAGGGCCAACCGTAGAGCACTTTGCAACTGGGATGAGACTCTGACGCCATTATTTGTATCGATGGTAAACTCTTTTCATCAGGAGAATGATCTCCAGTATTGTTTGGTTCAATTGATGGCGAGCAAACTACAGACTAGTTCTTTTCGAGTGCTTCGTTCCACTTGAAAACGTGGGATCTCGGGACCGGCCCTAGAACAAGGGGGTCAACGAATCCGCTACCACCGGCCCAAGGAAGTCTGGCATGCGAATCAATCTCCAGGGAACGAATAAGGTTTCTTGGAGGTATCGAAGAGGAATTCGGCTAGCAGGCTAGCGGGATCACAATGTCGAACAGAGTTCTGCTATTGATTCCGGTTTCCGTCTCTTTTTCGCCAGCATTCCAGATTCCCGGTTGCTTGCGGGAGATCATTTGATTTGATTCAGCCCAAGTCGCCTAGTTATGCCCGTGGCAATACTATATATAGTTGTAGCGAAGTCGGCCTTGAGAAGATAAAACCACTGCAAGAAATTTGACCCAATGGCGTTATGAGAGCTCGGTATGCTTTCCATCTGCCCCAAATGACTTTGATACTTAGGAACCGCCCAGCAGGCAGTTCAAACCCAGTGAGTGCCTAATCAAACTCCATATCCTTCGCTTGGGAACTTAGGAAAGTGTAGGTTTTCCCAAAAGCGCAGCCTTCGTTCGTAGTGTGCCAAAGGTCTGAGCATTGAAAAACTCAAGGTCGGTAGACCAGTCGCTCCTTCCAATACTCATACTTCTCGTCCCAAGTCAAGAGTGTTTTCTCGCAAGATGGCGAGAACATCCCACGTGGCTGCCGGTATCAGTATCTTAAGCACTATGGATTTTACCTCGTCGGGGTGCTTCTGGTTCGATCCTATTCTTCCATTCTATTGAGTCTACATGACCAGCATTTCTAGATGAATTCAATTTGCCCAATCGCCACAAGCAAGGGGTATCCCAAGATCAGGCTGCACACGTGATTACATCATAAAGCTTTTTTCATATATAAATTGCACTCTATATCTGAACCTTTCATACTAAGAAGAAAAGTCAAAATTTTAACACGTATCCTAGACATAAACAACTTGAAAAACTCTTTTAAGGGCTGGCCAGTATATAAATCAGCCATAGCCCCTGGGGGGGGCTCATAACCACACCTCTCTCCAAACCACGATATTAGTATCTATTACTATTATCCATACCACCCCACCACCTAGAGCCTCGTTAGGGCGAATAACCAGGTCCTAGAAAAGATGATAACGATTATTATAGACAAGCCAAAGCAGCTCTATTCCAAGTTTATCAAACATACAAGCCTCCGATCAGCCAGGGGGCTCCGAGCGGCGACGAAACCGCTTACAACAAAGTAGACCCAGCTGCTGCAATTCGTAACAGACCCAGGAGTTAGAGTGCTGGATCTGTTTTGTTGTAAGCGGCTTCGTCGCCGCGAGGAGCCATCTGACTGATCGGAGGCTCGTATGTTTGATAAACTTGGAATAAAGCTGCTCGCTTGTCTATAATGATTCAAGATGAATTATCCCTCCAGGCGTGCGATTCTTATTCATTAGCCGATACACAGCTTACATCTGGAAGCTCAAAGCGAGCCATTGGCTTGGATGAAATACAGCCAATTCGGTTGCCCCTCTGCACTATCATCTCAAACAATCGCACCATCTCAACCGGAGGACTCGACAGAAATGTCTTGGAACAAGCTACCACCTGAGTTGTGTCTCATTGTATTCGAACATGTTGTTGATTTAGAGGACAATCGTGACATATGCTAAGCATTTTAGAAAGTAAATTAATATATTATACGAAGCTTAATCAGACGAAGCCTTCGATTCCGGCCCCAACTCAGAGCTCATCACTCCATCCTGTCTAGCAACTCCTCGGCCTACTCACGAGCGACCGTTGTGGAATGTAAGCTCCAAGTTTTAAATGAGAAAAACAAAGAAAAGGAGAGGAAGGATCAAATATTCTGGGGATCTAAACGAGCAATCGAAAAGAGGGGCGTTCCTAGCTACAGTCCAAGATAAAGTAAGTGATCCAGGCTGTCCAGGTCAGGGTATACAGAGAACATGGTACTCGATCTTCAACTCATCCTCACTTGAGATATTGGTAAATTTTATCGGGAAACCTCCCAGAGCGGCCGTGTCGAGAGGACAGAATAGCTCCAAATTGGGTGCGTCGCAACTCAAGTCAGAAATCACCCTATTTCTCATGCCGTTCCTGCTGGAATTTCATACATTTGACACAAGAGCCAGTGGGATCAACCCGATTATCATCGTCCGTATCCGCATAATTTTCGTAACTTCAGGATCGGTGAATGGCGGTATATGAAAGTCGCCCTGAGCCGTCCCCGGAACCAGGGGGGAGCTGGAGAGTTTCCAAAAGCAGATGAGCCAGGCTGTTCTTAAATGGGCTCATAAATACGAGTACGCTGGTTGGTGTGGTTGTTGCCTGGCTAGGCTGTTACGGATTGAAAGAGTACGTGGCTCAACCTGAGGGGAAATTCGCCAATTCTTTGTAGAAGATGTGTTTGGATGATGGCAGGCACTCGATTGACTCCAATGGCGACTGTTCAGGTGTCAAATGCCATGGACAGTTCGCCATCTGCCTCAAAGTATGGCGGGGAGCAGCACAAAGGCAGTCTGTCGCGTGGGAGCCAGACGTTGCATCCCCCATCCCTGGCCGACACCCCGGCTCCCCCCAGTCCATGATGCGCAGCAGAAAAAGAAAAAAAAGTCGGTCGCCAATGCAGGTGCTTGTGTTTGTCGTTGATTGCAACAGAAGAGCGTAGATCAGAGGATTGGCTGCTGGCTAAGGTACCCACTTCGGAGGCAAAGCCATCCGACACGCCTGATTTTGGCCTAAACCCGCACCACGCAACGCCTGCCAGCGCCTCCATTGGCCTGGCCCAGAGCCTGGAGCCTGCCGCTGCCTCCTCCCACCAAGCACTGAGATCCATTAATCCATCCCTCCCGCCCCACCTTCCACTAGGTCCCCTCAATTGGCTTTCCACTAAACTGGTCCAGCGCTCGACGTTGCGAATTGGCCTGAACCCCTGGATTTCCAGTGCCCGCCCGCCGCCACCCACACCGACCCTATCTGGAGGGAGATTTCTTTCTTATAGATCGAACAGCTATCCTCTTCCTCCCCTCCTTCCCCTCCCCCCTTCTCCTCGACCTGTCCCCCTCCATCTCATGAACTGAGGCGCCATCTCTGCCAATCTCTCAACCGGCCGCCACCATGCCGTCCTCTGCCTCAGAGACAATCACCAATCCCGCGTCCAAGCGAAGGGGAGGCTCCGCCGAGAAGCACAAGTCCGAGGACGCCCCCGGTTCCGACAAGGACTTCTTCTGGACTTACACCGAGGAACCCCATCGCACTCGTCGATTGGCCATCATCAAGGCTCACCCTGAGGTACAATTGCATCACATCTCCAATCTGCATCCAGAAATGTGCATCTAATCATGTTGGCAGGTCACCAAGCTCTGTGGTCCCGAGCCACTGACCAAATATGTCGTCGTGGGCGTCGTCAGCCTCCAGATCTTCTTCGCCTGGTACCTGAGCGAAACTCCTTTCTTCTCCTTCAAATACTGGATCATTGCCTACATCTTCGGTGCCACCTCCAACCAGAATCTCTTCCTCGCCATCCATGAGATCTCTCACAACCTGGCTTTCCGAAGCCCAATGGGAAACCGTCTCCTAGCCATCGTGGCCAACCTGCCAATCGGCATCCCCTATAGCGCCTCGTTCAGGGTATGATTACACACGCGCAATTGAGTCGAGATGGCTTGTGAATTCCATTGCTAACATGGCATTGCCACCCCTCTAGCCTTACCATCTTACTCACCACAAGAGTCTCGGCGTGGACGGCCTCGACACCGACCTTCCCACCGCCATCGAGGCAGTCTTCCTCGACTCCATCCTCGGCAAGACCTTCTTCTGCACCTTCCAGATCTTCTTCTACGCCCTCCGCCCGATGGCCATCTACCGCGTGCCCCTGACGAGCATCCACTTCCTTAACGTCGTCGTCCAGATCACCTTCGACATCCTCCTCATCCGCTTCGCCGGCATCAAGGCCTTCGTCTACCTCCTCTTCTCCTCCTTCCTCGCCGGCAGCCTCCACCCCCTCGCCGGCCACTTCATCGCTGAGCACTACGTCTACGAGTACGTCACCCCCGAGCAGCGCAACCCGGACAACCGCATCCCCGTCCCCGAGACCTTCTCCTACTACGGGCCCCTCAACTGGTTCACCTACAACGTCGGCCTGCACAACGAGCACCACGACTTCCCCGCCGTCCCCTGGACCCGCCTCCACGCCCTCAACAAGATCGCCTCCGAGTTCTACGACCCCCTCCCCCGCCACGAGAGCTGGGTCTACGCCATCTGGCGCTTCATCTTCGACGAGGAGGTCGGCATGCGCTGCCGTGTCAAGCGCGAGAAGGGCGGCCGCCTCGTCGGTGGTGGCGCTGGCTGGAAGCTGAGCGAGATTGAGAGCTAAATCCAGGGGGGTGGCTCAAATTCAGGATCAGGGAGTGAATGTTGTCTTTTTTATCTTGTTTTCCGAAAGACCAAAAGAATGATGGGAGGAGGCGTACAAGCGCACAGAAAAGCACAGGGCAGCGGTCAGATGGGTGTATTTGCCTGGTGTAGCAAATACTTTTACTTTTTACTGTAGAAACATATGAATTCCCTCTACTACAACGGGAAGTTTTAATGAGTCATGCAATCCAATTTCCAAGTGGTTTCATTATAACCCTCCCTCCCCTTAGACTGACACTTCGCAAGAGTACACGATATGATGGATCTTGCTACATAGACAATTGGCCAGCTCACAAAACAACTTCCATTGAACAGGTAGTGCCTATCTAGCCGGATAGGAGATCTGTTCTCACCGAAAACCCCGGCGGCAGAAAAAAACCGTACGATTATAAACACAGGGATATCCAACACCAAGAGCCAGAAAGAGTGTAGGGTACAAATCTTCCATTAATAGGTAGCATCAAATAGTCGTTCTCCATAGAATGCAGGATTAACCATCGACAAGAGGCCACAAGCATTTGTAGAATCGCCTCTTCCAAAACAATAACAACAAAAAAAAGGGAAGAGTACAAAGTAAAAAAAAAAAAATGTACCTGGGCTAGAGTACAAGCACTTCTGTAGTGGACTTAATCATGCCACACACTCTCCATTCCATCTCCACTATTCATATCATAGGAGCCTGGCACTCTCCTGAGTGCCTAGGCTTCCCCCGTCTCCTTTGCGCCTGTAGAAATTCAAATGCGCCCTCACAGAACGGTGGCAGGGCCACGCTGGCATTGCCAGGCATTGCCAGAAGCCCTTGGCTGGTGTGGGGTGAAGACACAGAGCCATGGCACTCGCATCAGGGATATCATATCAAGTTCAGGTCCTGCCCACACCGCCTGATTGTTCTCATGAAAACATTCATCGCTGCAGTAAGAAAATAGGGGCCAATCAGAAGAAGAGGTAGGCAATTAGGAAGGCCAAGAAGCAGAGGAGAGCGGTGGTCTTGACAGGTACGCCTTGTACAGTTGGCACCACGGCTTGGGCGGTGCGAGGGGCAGCAGGCCTCTCGGCAGTAGCAGTCGCGCCGCTTGAGATGTTGCGCTTCTTCAATTCCTGGTCGACAGTGTCCTTAACTGATGTTGCGGTGGTTGTAGCAGCAGATACCACTGCGGCAGCTGCTGCCTTGACAGGTGCTGGGGCTGCCTTGATTGCCTCGAGCTTCGGCTCCTCAACCTCTTCAGTCTTGATTTCGGGGTATGGCGGAGGCGCGGTCGAAGGCGAAGAATCGAGGTGGGCGGCAGGCGATGAGAAAGATTGCGAAGCGTTGGGGGTATCAGCGGCCTAGAAACCATTAGTACATTGCAGACTTGCTAGCACACAAATAGACTTTATCATTACCCCTCCATTGATAGCGGTTTGCTTGTTAGGCGTCGCCAGGACAGCAGGGGTCGGTTCCGGTGTCTCTTCCGACTTGGGTGGAAGCCAATTCACGCGGATCTTGCGCTCCTGGAGGGAGCCCTTCTCCGTGGACTCAAGCTGCAAGATTAGGTCAGAAATCGCAGAGATTATAGGAATAGCACGAAGCTATCAACCTACCACATTGGCAATGCTGGTGAACTCCTTGTCGCCAGTGATGGGAGCAGATTGAACCAAAAACTTATCACGGCACTTGGCATCAAGAGCTGGCTCCTGTTTCATAGCCTGGAGCAGGACTGTCCTTGGGTTAGCATATGTGATTTCGTCGGGACTCTCTGTGCGCCATACCAGTAACATCAAAGTCCTGTCCAGGCTCGATTCGGCCAGAGTTGGGACGAACACAGTATCTGTTCCTCTGTCAGAGCTGGTCTAGAGCAGGCATGGGGTGGTGGGTGCTATCAATCATACTGCTTTGGGGCTGTGGTTTTGACCTGAGTAGAGTCAGCATACAATCCCTTAAATCATACAAACATAGGTGGCTTGGATCGCATGTACCTTGAAAGCAACGGGTGTGGTGTTTGGGTTCTTGATTGTAAGGATCTGCGACACCTCGACGGTGAAGGGGCCTGAAAGTGATAGTTAGCTACCGAGGTCGCAATCGGAAGTTCGCCTGCTGCTACACATACGTCGAAAGCTCAACTCGAGAGGCTCAATATCCACCGACATGTTGAAACTCGTCTCTCGTTGTCAAGCTAAGGGATCTTCGTGTGATCAGGGTGAGGCGAAAAAGAAGGCTGGCTGCTAGTATGGCCCGCAGAGCAGGAAGGAGCGAAGAGAAGATAAATTTAGAATATTAAAAAAGAAGTAGTAACGCAGCAGGGATGAGCGGCGGTGGTCTTTCTCTATCGATCGGTCGGATATCGCAGGCGGGAGTCGAAGATAGGTGTAGAATGGTTAAGACGTAATCGCTGGGGCCAGGTTTCCTTGATCGAGGTACAACGCGATGCCCCGTTTCCTGAAGGTGGTTTGCTCATCATTCTGGGCAATGACGCACGGGCCAGGTGTCTTCGCTGCTAACTTTACCCGGTATAACGCCGGCTCAGCTCCACAACCTTCTGAGCCCATGTCAAGTTTCAGGAACCAGCAAGTGGGTGACAAGAGAAATGAGACACTTGATGGAATAGTGGTTGTGAACAGACTACTTTCTACGATGAATAAAGAAATACAGCAGAATAAAATGAAGTAAAAGATAAAATATACTGTATTATCTCTGAAGTATGTATTATTAGCACTTAATAATCTAATAATACTGGTCGCAGACTCGAAAATAAATAGCTTAATGTTTGAGTATCTTAATTTTAATGTCACCCACTTGACCGGCTACGGGAAATACTAATTCATCGTCACTCCGTAGGCTACCCTATGGCCATTGCACCAGCATCATCAATGCAAGTAGTAGTCGGAATCGTGGTGTGTGATCCTTCAAAATTCTAATGAGGAATACACAAGAGCAAATAGGTAAAGTGAGAGAACATGCCACACGTGCCCTGTATGGGAGTAGAGCTTTCAGCGTGAGGTTCTGCCTCGGTTCACATAAGCAGATACTGAGAAGAATAATCTAAGAAGGAGCTGTTACCACCCGGTTGTTACAAATATAGATGCAATCCGGAGGGATTAGACGGGCCACAATAATCCTAGACCCCAAAGAGCTACTTATCCCGCTATGAAAGGCTAGATTTCTGATCTGCGTACTGTCTCTCTTACAGAGGGCTTACAAGTACAATAACATACTGACCTAGAAATGGCACCCAGATCAGACGATACCTGCATTGATTCCGATAAATAGTAAAAAATAGTTTCACCATATCGGTCCCAAATAAATCAAGAATTCAAGAGATCATTACTTTCAGAATGCATAGATTCATGACGTCGTTGCAGCTCAATGTCTTGACATAATGACTGGGAATGGCATACACATATGCCTTTTACCACATTGGGGAAATCTCATAAGCATGATAAAAAAGCGAAGCTGTCCGCCTGGGCATAATATGCATAATTTTGAAACCTAAGCTTGCTAATTCATATGTTGGGCTTGACGGGCTGTGCGACACTGCAGGCTTCCACTTATGACGCTTCAGTGCCCCTCACCCAACCGCAGCAGCTACCAACCCCACCACAATCATCACCTCTCCTACACACCTCGAACCCCGTCACCACGAAATCTCGATAAACACAGCCAAGAATCATGGCTACAGATCTGGAACAGCTGCTCGAGATGGGCTTTGACAAGGCCCGAGCCGAGCTTGCCGTCAAGAGACCAGGTGGCCGTATGCCAAGACCCCACATCCCATTCAATCTGGACTCATGAGTTGCTTATTGGTTTTATAGTTCAAGGCGCGCTGGAGTGGCTGGAGAAGAACGAGGACAAGCCTCTTGACGAGCTTCAAGCCGAGGCCGCTGAAGAGGATGACGATGCAGCTACCCAGGCCAAGATTGCCGAGCTGGAGACCGGCCAGGCCAAGTCCATGGTCTGCAATGAGTGCGGCAAGAAGTTTAGGAGCATCAATGCGGCTGAATTTCATGCTTCCAAGACGTACGTGTCATGATCGTGATGTTATTCTCAGATCTTTATTTGAAATTTACCTTGCTAATATGTGTTTCATCAGTGAGCACACCGACTTCTCAGAGTCAACAGAGGAGATTGCTCCCTTAACTGAGGATGAGAAGAAGGCCAGATTGGAGGAGCTTAGAGAGCGAGTCAGGGCCAAGAAAACCGCAGCGTCGGCCAAAGACAAAGAGGAAGCGAAGGAGAATGAGGTATGTTTGAAAGTACATTGAACCCCCAGCCCAACACATACTTATATCCCACCAGAGAATTCGCCAAAAGTCCACCAAGGAATCTCAGGAAGCCAAGGAGGAGCTCCAGCGCAAGGAACAGATGAAGGAGGCTGCCCGCAAGCGCCAGGAGAAGCTCGATGATCTCGAGGCCAAGAAGCGCATCAAGGCAAAGATTGAGGCTGACAAGGCTGAGCGTCGGCGTATTGCGGAGGAGGCAAAGGCAGCTCGTGAGGGACGCCTTCCCGACGCGGCCCCCGCGCCAGCTCCCGCTGCTGCGGCGGCCCCCAAGCCCAAGTCGAATCACAACGAGGCCAGGCTCAGACTGCAGACTGACTCGGGAAACATCGTCAAGACCTTACCTGCTGAGACCACCTTGTTTGAGGTTGCACAACAGCTACAGAGTGAGACTGGGGCAGCTGTAACCAGCTTTACGATGACGTTCCCACGCAAGGTATTCGAGGGAGATACGGACATGTCCAAGACTCTTAAGGAGGCTGGTCTCGTGCCATCTGCTGTCTTGATTGTCAAATAGAGTTAAAATCTAGGCGCGGGGTTGGGGCAAAACTGAATGGGAGCATGGAATAGCGGCGTTGTAGTGGCGAGTAGTTGAAAGAGAAAACACTTATACATCTGTCGTTGTCATCTTGGGGGTTTCAAATGGGACGGGTATATGAAAAGGCCAATGGCAATGATCCTTTCACACATAGAAAATTTCACCTGATTATGAGCAGCACCAAGAATCATTGTGAGGCTGACCATCCCTAGGTCCGATTCGTTACTTTTCAGAGTCTTTAAATTGACCAATTCCTTCCCCGCATGAACTCCGTCATTCAGGGCATGCCACGCATCATCATTTAATGTGAACGAGTCTACCCTTCCCAGATAGTGGGACATATCCTGCCCTCCCCATCTTGTATGATCGATCGATTCTGACCCCCGAAACGATGCAGTTGAAGTACAAAGAAGCAAGAAAACAGCCGTCGAGATTTGGCTTTTTAGTCGAAGAGACCGAAACCCATGTCCTCGTCGGACTCTTCCTTCTCTGTTCCAGTTGTCAGCCATGCAAGTTCCTCGCGGGCACGCAGCCGTCCGTGAGATCATGTACGAACCCTCTTCCTTGGCCTCCTCGGCGGGTGCGTCGTCACCACCGGCAGCGGCAGCACCACCGGCAGCAGCAGCGGGGGCGGCACCGCCACCGGAGCCAACGTTGGTGAGCAGGTCCTTGACGTCCTTGCCCTCCAGAGCCTGTAAAAACCCATCCCGTCAGTACACACAAAATTTCGTCGCAAGCCGTTGGTCGATATTTGGTTTCGTGGTGGTTCGTACCTTGGCGAAGATGGAAGTCCAGATGGGCTCGACCTCCTCGACCTTAGCGGCCTTGATCAGGGTCTGGAGCTTGTCGGACTATATTGTGCCAATTGCTGTCAGCTATCCCGGTGCTTCAACCTCAATGTTCCGGTGCGCGCCGTGCATTGATTGCGGGACGGCGGGCAGTCGCAGAAGCAAAACTTACGGTGATCTCAATACCCTCATCAGCGAGGATGAGGGCAGCGTAGGACGAAGCGAGCTCGGCGTGAGACATTGTGATTGTGTTAGTCGGCGGACTTTGGGGAGTTGAGAGAGTCGTCGACGTGGAGATCGATGTGGTTTGGGATATCGATTTATCCCACCAGAAGGCTGACCACAGAAAATTACCCTGGTCGAAATTTGGTTTGGAGGGCTTCAAGACCTAATAGTGGAGTGGTGAAATAGATTTTCCGACCTCCGGGCATTTTTTGTGCGCTCGCAGCTGAAGTAGTGCTTGCATGATTGGCTAGCGGGGCCTGGACCTTTTTAGTGGGGGTAAGGTCGATGCCGGTACTCGACGACGGTTACTGTATAGAGCAACCTGAATGGCTTCCGGTTTGGGCTTACAAATGGAGACAAGGCAACACTTTTAAGAAGCGAATATAGCCCCGGATATGCCATGGCCGTTGAAGATGGATAGGAATGCATTCCCTTCAAGACAACAGTAATTGATGTTGTACACCCTTATCAACTTCTACAGCCAGGCCCCTTGGGCACGATAGACGAGCATCTGCGACGATGACATCGTCTTGCATGACTATCTCTCAGCTGCCACCTACACCGTACTGACTCATCAGGGTGAACTGCATGTGGTTGGGTAGTCACAGCGGGTGCTCATCTTTACGGCGAGAGATTTTGACTTCACGCTTGATTGTATCATCAGCTAGACGCCTGCCTATGGCGAACCCAATTACCCAAAGCAGCTAATCGCATTTGTCGGGTGCTTTGCGCCAAGGCCTGGAACTCCAGAACCTAAAATATCCCGCCGACATCATGCTTTTGGCAGCATCGGTACGTACCGGCCGGTGATGCACCTCAGCGCCAGCATCAATTGAACCCCACCAACAAACGGGGCTGTCACCCCTCCATTGTCGTCAGTGGGTGATAAATCGTAGCTTGTCTGCCCCGAGGGGCCAGAATGACCATCTCTTTGCCACCCCCTAGCATCGGCAAAGCGCCATATAACATCGGATGTTGATGCAATCTTTCATCACCTGGACTCTGCAGCACAATTAGCCTTGACGACTGGAGCCATTGAGCTCACCGATCCACTTAGCGATACCACCCCACGTGCCCGACCGACCCCGTAGCTTAGGGAGCCTCAGCTTCCATCCACGACGACTGCCTGCCTGATACCAGCCGAGAGCGATAAGGACGTTGCAACATAGGGCTTGCGCAATCCCCGATCAATCATCCCATCTCAAGCCTATCAACACTCCCCTTTTCTTTCCATTTCGGATACGTCTTTCGCGCGCGCAATGGACACACCTGCAGTGCCCGCTCCTCGGGATGCTCGGGAGGCGGCTGTCCTAGAACAGTTGTCGGTGATACGAGACCGGCTTCTGCTATTGAAGCGCGATAGAACAACGTACATCCGCAGCCAGGATGTCATTCCGCTCTATGATCAGACCGTTGAGCAGGTCAGAGAACTGAAGACGATCCGGGCCGAGACCGGAAGTAAAGAAGAGAACAGAGGTGCGAACGTCTTTTGCAAACCATCTTCTGGACTGTGGACTAACGCTATCTCCTCGAATAGTCGACAGGGTCATGGAAAGCTGCTTCCAGCTCCTGTCGCTTTTCTACCTCACTGTCGGCAGGAATAATGAAGCGCCAGCAGCCTATGCCTTAACATCGACTATTAAGCGATTACTGGATCACTTAACCGAGTCTGATCTTTACTCGGCCAAAGATTTGGAGAGCATTAGCGCAACCTTGACAAAAATCGCCACCACCCTGAACGAGCCATCTGACGGCGAAGACTCGGAGAAGCAGCACTGGCCATATCTCGTTGAGATGGTGAAGACCCGGGTAGAGCTTTGTCAAGCAACCACGATAAAGCTCCAAGAGAGATTAGAAAGATTTGGAGAATGTTTGCTGTCTAAGCACGAAAGGATCATCTCCATCTTGCGCTCAATCTCCTTGGCTAATACGAAGTCCAAGGTAGGTCTACCATGGGTCTCATATCTACGTTGCGTTATTAGTAATCTTCCCCTAACGGTCTACAGTTCCCGACGCATGAGGTCGAAAGGCTTCGAAATAAGCTGCTCGAGATTGGCGAATCGCGCACAGATGGAAAGTTCTGCGCGGTAGATGGGTCCGAGCCTCTAGGGCAGGCAGAGGTCACAGAGGTGTACAACCGCTGTCTCAAATGGGCTGACCTGGTTCTTGAACGGTGTGTACTCTGACACCGCTATCTTTGGGAAAGGGCCGAGTATCTAACAAGCGATAACAGAAAGGGTGTCATGGGAGAACCGTGGAAGCCAATTTATGAGACGCTGATTAGTATCCGGGGCGAGCTGGAGAAGTTATCGCTAACCCAAGCGTGGTCCCTACGAGAAACAGATCTTTATGACTTCCAGCGCCAACTGGACAAGATCGACGAGAGTCGGCAAGGTGGTAACTTTTATGACGAAAGAGGTAGACCTGCGGACCTCTGGACGCAGCGAACTCTACTGTACTTGACTAGGCGATGCTATGCCCACATCTACCAGCTCATGATCGCATCCGAACCGGTATCGGAGGCGCTCTTGCCAGTTTATAACCAACTACAGACACTGAAGAGGTGCCTCCGCGAAGTGCAGGACAGCGGCGGAATATCATCTGCCCGTGAGCTTTATCCATATAGTATGAAGGTAAGGCACAGCACACACAGCATGGGATGTTGAGGTTGGTGTTCTTGCTTCTAACGTGTCTTTTAGATCACATCTTTGGATAACATGAGAGTCGATGGGAAGTTTGTCGTGAACGGCGACATTCCAGAGGGTCAGGGAAGCGTAAGCGAGCTGCTGGCAGAGTGCTTTGATATCATTTATGAGCTGCGGGTTACAGCTGGAGAAGGCTCGCCTGAACAAAATCCCTGAGATGGACCGGTGCGATGATGCTGTTTGATTTTGGCGCCGAACCCATCTGGGTATCTAATATCTAATGGTTGGAGTATTGGCGCGCCGTGGCATTGCTGGGAATTCGTACTATCGATTCCTTCCGGTGTAAGCCAGAGGACGTTCCCTTCGTGATGCCCGGGCTGGGAAAGGCGTCTATTTCTTATTGTTACCATGTTTGTTACAGTTAGAATTGAACAAGATCGCTCTTACTTAACTTTATGTTTGCCGATCGCGCCAACAATTCGTGATGGTGTTCAGTTGCAAGATCTGGACACACCAACTTTAGGGTAGGGTTGTTTCCGCCTCCCAAGTCAACACAATCTTCCTTTCTATCTATTCTTTGCTTCGCCTATTCCGGCTAGCAACAGTACCTCGACTGGCCGTTTGCCTGTGTCTCGTGTATTCGCTCGAGTGTGCTCCTTGCATCTATGGCGGTTATGACTGCCGGCGGTCTCCCAAAATGAGGCACGGATTCGTATATGAGATGCGACAGCCTCAAGACCCTCCTCGAAAGGCCTATACAAGCTATAGAATCAAATTTGCGGCTCTAAACATCGCGAGACAGACATGAAACGGAGAATATACTCCAGCGTATTCGGCAAGGACTTGGTACGGAAGAAATTCCCCATGAGAACGACGGAGACCGTGTCAAAGGGCAGACACAACGAGATAGAACATTGCTCCTTGTCTGGTAGCTGAATTATAATACCTCCATCACTATTAACACACTATTAAGTAACCGCTCGTATGATTTCCCTTTACTTCTTTTCAGCCTGTATGAACCTCGGAACCAACCGAACGAAATCCTCCAACCCATCCACAAAGCACACATGCCCAGCATCCGGAATAACCACCAGCTCAACCTCCCCGGTCTTCCCCGCCTCCCTGAACCCATCCTCGATCTGCGCCCTCATGTCCCCCATGGTCCGCGGGAGGTTCGCGTCCTTCTCGCCGACGACGCAGACGGCCTCGTCCACCGCCCCGCCGACCCTGCGCAGCAGCGGCCGCAGGTCAAACGTTTCGCTCGCGAGCGCGTTGCAGCACGTCTCCATCCCGTCCACGCTCGTCCGCATCACGACCCGCCGCATCCGCTCCGCCTCTTTCGGGTGGCCCTCGAGCCAGGCGTCGCCGAACCACCGTTGTAGCGTCGCCTGTGTGTTGCCCTCCATGCCGCCCTCCGCCCGCGCCGAGGCGACGCGGGGGCCGAACGGGTCCTCCACGCCGGCGTTGGCGGGGGAGCAGGCGATGGTGTCGCAGACGACGAGCCTCCCCACGACGCCCGGGTGCGACGTGGCGAAGAAGACGCCCTTGGCCGCCCCCATGGACACGCCGACCCAGGCCCACAGCCTGGGGATCTCCAGGGCGTCGAGCATGTAGGCGACGTCCTCGACCATGGAGTCGAAGGTCGTGGTGGTGAGGTCGGCCGGCGCGGAGGAGTCGCCGTGGCCCGGCTGGTCGTAGCGGAGGGTGCGGAACCCGGCGTGGTTGAGGACGGGGACGATGTGGTCCCATACGGCGATGTTGGTGCACAGGGGGTTGGAGAGGAGGACTACGGGGGCGCCTTCGGGGGCATCGTCCAGCAAGTAGGCTAGCAATCTGTTGTCCGGAAGGCTAAGCTGCTTGATAAAAGGCGTTTCTACTTTGGCTGACATGTCTGTGGATGGCTCTTGTAAAGATGAAGAGACTGTTTTGCGAAGTATGAGTTGTGATATAGGATATATATATTAGGAGAGCAATATGAGCATCGAGAATGACAATAGAATAGTTTACATGCCTTGCCTGTCTTTTGGCAAGGAACCTTTTGACAAGGAGCCAGCCCGGTCGGATCTGACGACACGGCATCATGATGAAGCAATCACACACCTGTCAAAGTGGGGTCGTTGGCCATTCCCAACACTCATTCGGCCGCGCTTGTCTCACCCCGCACGGCTTCACCCTCTCTGATGCCGTCAAGCCATATCCGGCGGTGTGCCAAACGATGATGTAGGGACGGGGCCAAGGCTATTTATCTACCCTCACCTCCCTCTGGCCCGTCTCCAGCATGCTACTCTGGGCTAACCCTGCCTCCAAGAACGCCGGAAACATCGGGCCCGGCGTTGCCCCGCCCGGCATCTCAGTCCGGGGCCGTGGCTCC